GTATCACAATATTTACCTAAATAATTAATGATTTTTAGGAAAGCGCAGCAGCGAAGCACCAAGCTGGCCTCGTGTGGTCAGAGAAGTCTTAGTGAGGTCAAAACACTCAATTTGTAGGCTGTGTACCAAAGAAGGGAATTTACAGGAAATAATTTTTACAGCAAACAAACATGGAAAGTAAGTTACAATAGTTCATGTTTTATATTTCCAACAACTGATAATTTCTTATTATAGAACCACATATCATTGTGCAAGATCTAGTAAATGGGGTGATCTGTTACCAATTTCAATACAAAACCCTGAAAATAAGGATTAGTTCTTAAGATTTTTAAAAAAGAGAAGCTTCAGACATGTGCCTATTTTTTTTTTATATAATGTTAAATATACGTTTTTCTCTTTTTGGATTGTATCAATAAAAACCACAAGAAATGTACAATCCTTTAATAAGAAGGAGAAGTTTACATAAAAAATTACTGTTGCATTTGTATAAATATAAAAAAATATGGAAACCCACAACATAACGCATCTTCTTCAAATGAATGTGTCAAAAACTTATTAGGTACATGTTAGTTGAAACAGTCGACGTATTCATCCCGTAATATTTTCTTTGTTATTATGACGTTTAGTACGACTATTCAGATTGAACTGAGGACTATGGGGTTCTGTGAGGCTCTTTGTTGGAGCAGGTTCGATCGGTTTGTAACGCCTTATTGGCTGCGCTTTATATTCCATCACTCTTCGAAGATTAGCGACTTCTTCTTCCTCATGTCGAATTTTTTCTTGTTCCATCTGGAAACAGACTAGAAAATATTGCGATTGTAAAAAAAATCTTTTTATTATAACTTTGCCCTTTCTTTTCTGTCCTGTTAGTGAAATGAAAAACTTTTGCAGTGCTACATTATGTAATAAAATTAATCTATTACTGAATTTTTCATATTTTATAAAAAGTTTTTGGAATGAAACTAATGTCGTTATTATACCCTCTGTCTTTGTGCTTTTATCAGTTCATCCCTATACTTCATCTTTTCCTCAAACATTTGTCTTTCTTTAGCCCTTCGATCGGTGTTCAGTTCAAAACTAGGGATTTCTCTCAAATGTTTCATAGGTTTTTGAGGTTCAAACGGTTTCATTTGGAGTACTTTGGCAGGTCGAGCTTTGAACTGAGGAGCCGGTTGTTCCAACTTCTGAGACGATTTTTCAGCCTTAAAAAAATATTGAAATTATTACAAATAAAATAAAATGCGAACTACTTACATTTACTAAATACTGTTTAGGTGCCAACGCTTCTGACATACGAACTTTCTTTTCATAAATAAACTTGGGCACTGGTTTTGCGTGAAATTCTCTCATTTTCCTTTCTTCTTCCATGATCTGTTAATTCAATGCATTAGGAACATTTGTTTATGGTAAAATTATATTTTCTTATCTATTTTTCACAAAAAAGTAGTTAACCTTTTGAAGAGCCTCGTCTTTCTTTTTTTGTATTAGTCTGTCTCTTTCTTCAAAACTAAAAGGCCTCACTTCAGTACACTTTTTCGCATTTTTATCGGAGCATTCTTCATTTGATTCGACATTAAATTTATTTTCACCTTCCACATGCATGTTTTTGAACGGTTCGTTACCCATTTCTTTCTTTAAAAACAATTTTATCTCTTACCATGTTATAAGCTAATAGTCATATTTTTGTATATTTTTATATATTACGTTTTTGTTTTGCAATAATATTTAGTATGAATGTATGGACATATGTACTTGTTAACATAATCTTCCTTGCATGATACTATTAGTTATTCTTTTTAGACTTCCTATTGGAGTCCACAATATGTATAATAGTTATACCTTTGTGATAATAAACACTTTTTTTTACAAAGGTTACGACTTTTTTTGTTATTTAAGTAGAAATCTTACAGTACGGAAGCGAGCTAATAATAAAGTAAAATTAATAACAAAGTATTAACAAACTTCTCGACATCTTGCTAATTATCAGATTGCTGATTTCTTCTAACTTGCTTACATAAAAGTTTACGAATATCACTTTTCACTTTCTGTTTACAATACATCCTGGACAAATAATATACAATACAATTAATAGTTTAGCCAACACTTTGAACTAATAAAATATATTAAAAGTAATATAGCAAAGTTTAATAAATAATTATACTACAAAAAGTAATTTTTAGAACAATCGTTTAACGTAGTTTTGATAGAAAATAACTAAATTAACAACTTAGAATAAAAGTACTTTCAAATTTAAAGGTTGTTATTTAAGAATTTAGAATTTATCCGGGGAAGTCCATTCTGGAGATCAATTTTTCTGCTTATTTTGTAGTATGGAGGATTAAAAATATTAATTAAACAATTTGGTTACTTTAAAAGAAGCACTGAAACAAAGACAATCTTTAAAAAAGGTCGAAAACAAAAATTAAGGGGAAAATTTAAGTTTATTAAAGAGCGCGTTTTTGAAAAATTACATAAAAGAATGTTGCACCATCTATCGAAAAGTGATAAAAGTAGAACTGCATATAATTCATAGATCTAAATCTAAACCTAAAACAATCGACAGGGACGACTTTACTTTATACCAGTGATTTATATAACAAAAAATATATGTAAATTAAAAAATGAATGCATTCAGCTACTTCAACTAAATAAAAAAAAGAAAAACAACATTAAATACATACTTATATATCTTTTCATTTAAATCAAGCAGGAACAGGAAATAAAAATATGTATGCCATTAAAATAATGTAAACTGTTTTACGGAAAAGTAGAACCACATTAATATAAGAAAAAAAATATAGTCAGTAACATTTCTAACACATTACTAACTTTACAATTGATTCTCTATATAAATTTCTTGAATATTAGTTTGTTACCTTTTTTGATAGTTTCTTTTTTGTATTTAAGAGATTCGATACCTTAAGAATCGAAACTGATTTGTTGATAGTTATTCTTGATCAAAAATAAATTTTAGTTGATAACTATGATAATTGTTTTAATTTTGATTAAAAAATAGATATTTATTGATTAATAATTTGCCTCAATACGTCTCTGTTATATCCAAACATGTCATTTTTGTAGTTCCACGTCTGCACGAATTTTACCTTGATAGTTTTGCTACGTCATTTGTCTCGTCTTATGGAACCTTTCTTATGCTAGAGAAAGATGGTGCTAACAAATCCAACAGAACAAGACATATTTCAGTTTAAATGATGTGCTTTGTTTCATTCTAACTTAAATATTGAGTGTTACAGTAGTAAAGGAGAGAAAATTAACGTGACATATTTTGTGAATGAAAAAATTGGATTTTGAGTTGAGCATAGGCAAGTTTACTGATGGTTGCTGTGAAAATATTTTTAACAATAAGTATTTATATCATCGCCTAATGTAAAAAAAGTTGCCTTTTCGTGAAATTGTTGACGTTTCCAAGTGTTGATTATGATTAGTTTGTGTGCAGATGCAATTGTGAATGTGAAATTTAGTGATTTATTGGTTAAAATCTGCTAATATAAAAGGAAAGCAATGGATGAAATTCTCTGATTAAAAAGGAAATAAACGTAAGTTGAAATAATCAATTGCCTGCATACATTTCTTTTTTACAACATCCCTATAAGTTTGAATGTAAGGTAAAATTTAAAATGATTTTCAATAACAATTTTGTACCAACATATGTGAATGTATTACATCCATAAATTATAATTAATAATGTTGTAGTAAGTAGTAGTAGGATTTTATTGGATTATCGTTATTGATTTACCTAGGTAGCAGTATGTTTGAAAGAATATTCATTATTTTCTGCTTAACCTCAAAACATGATTGAATGATATATAGTGGCTACTTAATAATTCTTCCTTGATAAATTCACGTATTTAACCAAGATTAACAATCTTAATAATATACAGTTTCAATTGCTACAGAGAAGAAATGTCTTGGATAAAGAAAAGGGGACCAAATGTCCCTAATCAGTCAGCTGTTCCATCAGTTCCAATGTATAATCCTAATCAACATTCCAGTGCACAGGTAATCATTTGATATTAAGAAATTATTTCACAGATCTGTTAAGAAAGTTGAGGATATTGGGGGCAGTTGTTTTTTATTATTAAGTATAAACAATAGGCCTATTTTGGTTAGTGCAAAATTTGGAGAACTGCATTTCCTCCAGTTTTCCAATAAATCAATTTTTCTCTTGCAGACTACAATGAATAATAAAATGTTTAATTATTTGTTTACATCCCCCATAGCTCTGTGCGAATACAGAAGTATTTGAAAAGAACAATAAAAACTTAGCAGTTGTGTTGTATTTATAAGTATTTTTTTTTTATAATTTATAACTTCTACCATTGAAACGACCTGTGAAGGGATTGTAATATTCTTCAACATAATCTATTTTTAAATAATTAAATAAACATTAAACCTAATCACATTGCATTAACTATTTTCAAGTTGTCAAAGCTAATTAACTTTCTCTCTATGTGTGTTCATTACTAGTATAATTGAATTAAAAATAATTCAATTTGGTTCCCAGTTAGTAAGTAGCTAAATATTTAAGTAAATGGTACATCAATAAATTTTATTTGTAAATTGTATCAACTAAAATGAAATTTGTTTACTTTACTAGCAGTTGGCCCCCTCCCTTTTTTCATATTGAAATGACTTTTATATTATTCAGTCTATCTAAATCATTTTAGAACCAATGGCAACAGCAAAATTTTCAACCTGCTTCTTCAAATAATTGGTACACCCAAAATTCCAATGATCCAAATGGCTTTCCACAACCTTATAATAATTCACAGCAACCACAGCAGTACTGGCAACAGTACGGTCAAACTCATCAGCAAGATCAACAAGAGCCTCAACAACCCCAGCAACCCTATCAAAACTATAATCACTATCAGTTCCAGAATTCGGCCCCCCAACAGCAATATTCGTACGGAAACTATGGCCAACCAATGCCAAATTTACAGCAAGTGCAACATCAACCTCAGCAATCAAGTGAAATGGACTCCTGGAATTCTTGGAATTGGGGAGAAGAAAATAATTCTAACATTCAAGCAGGATACGTTCAAAATAACACCAATCCAGTTCAAGAAGTGGCTTCTGCAAACATCGCCAAAAATTTTGTTAATGACGAAACGTGGAATTGGTCTTTAGAAGACAGTTCGTCGACATCAAGTCTTCTGAAGCAAGAAGGAACTGAAAAGGGGTCAGTGGTTAATGAAAATACTTATGGTGCTCAAAGTGTACAAAGTAATGATCATTTGCGCGAAGATCTGTTCCCAAAAGTGGGCTCTACTGCAGCGAAACACAACCAAAACCTCAAATCTGGCTCTTTAGATTCAGAAAATCAAAACTCGCAAATTGTTCCTGGAAGTGCAAGTGTCGAACATAAAAGTGCAATAAAAAAAGTAAATAAACCTGAAATGTTGCCTGCACAATGGTCTACTGAGTCTCAAATTTCTCAAGATTCTTCAGAAAACATTCAAACTTCAGACAGTAACTCGAGAATTCTTTCAAGAAGCTCTACTACTAGCGAATCATCACTCCCGTTGCAAGATTTAGGAAACGTAAATAACGAAAAGGTTAATTCTTTTGAAACGAATTTAGATCGTAGTAGAAAAATATCCGATGCTACATTAACAAACGAACCGCCTAGCCGAAATTTAAGAAATGCAGAGATGTTACAACATGAAAATGTTGAAAACGTTTCGCACTTGAAATCTTATACTACTCCTCCTCCATCAGTAAAAAGTCAGACGGCAACTCCACCACCCCCTATGAAAAATCCTCCTCCCTTGATGCCTTCACAAAGTGACGATTCACAAAATCCTTATAAAAGAACGGTGGGCGTTTCTCACAGAGCTATCAACAAATATATGATTGAAACTCAGTCTCAACCTCAACAAAGTATGGCATTTCCACCTCAAACAACTTTTCCATTGTCAGTTAATCTTGAAACATTACCAGATAATTCAGAACAACCTGATTCATATCCTCTTCAGAGTACCCAGTTAATTCGTAAGGTCAGTGCAACAAAAACTCCCTTACCAAATTGTCCAGACAATAATGAAATAGCCCCTATAAATGACAGAAATCAGTACTTAGAAACTGGGCAGTTATCAAACAGTGAAGTAATGGTTGATAATAATGACGTATTACCACCACCAGGATTGCAGCGTATGGTGCTGGGACAGATGGAATTTAACGAGCAAAATATTAGACAGGAAGGTAGGGGTGATAGCCAGCTCGAAGAGCCTCCTCCTGGCTTAAGTCGAATGGTGCTAGGGCAAAATGTAAATTCAGACAATTCAAAAAACAAACTGCCTAAAGTTAATAACGAAATTGGTGAACCACCTGTTGGTTTTCATAGAATGATTCCTGGAGAGTCCAGCTCACCTGAAAATAGTAAATGGAATAAAAACACCGCAAAAAGTAAGTTAATCACTTCACATTTTTTGTTTATTATTAATAAACATGTTCATTCTCTCGTTTAGGGTCTATTTCTCGTAGAGAAAATCCTTTCCCAGAGCCGGAGCGCGATATTTTCCTTTCTGAAAACTCCCAAAATCAACCTACCCAAACTCGGTCTGCTACCATTGGTGCTGATACGCCTCCTGTTCCTCCAAATCCATCTCTGGACTCTGAAAATAACGACGTGGCTCCCAAGGACAATAATGACACAGAAAATGTTTCCAACGATTCTCGAAAGTCTAGCAAGGTCCCTAAAAATACCCCCGAAAATATTAGACGTGCTTCCATCGACGGTCAACCTGAAGATGAAGAAATAGCCGTAATAACATCATCGGTACGTGATTTAACTGTGGGAGGTAATGTGGTCGAATCAGGGCCGTCCAAAGGAGCTGCTGAAAGACCACCACGAAAGTCGAGTGTTCATGAAACCAGTGATAGTGATTCTAAAAGGGAAGAAGTTTCCTCAAAGGGTCGCGATCACAGGGACAAAAATAGGGATAGAGATAAAAATCGTAGATACAAGGATAACGAAGAGGAATATGATAGGGGAAAGGAGAAAGGCAAGCGATATTCTCCATCCCCAGACAGATATAGGGACAAAAAATATGATAGAAGGAAATATAGGGACAGGCGGTATGATGAAGAGTCTGATTATTATAGTGACAAAGAGCACAGGGATAAAAGACGAGACCAGAGAGACAAATATGACGACTATAAAAAATATAGTAGTCTAAAAAAAGAAAAATATAAAGAGAAACAGCGAAGGGATCCGAGGGAGGGAACTGGTAGAGATTCAAAGAGATCAGAATATTATTATGGACGTTATGAAGACGACTATGAAGAAGCACCTAGGTACTGAATATTTTTATCAAATTTCAATTTGAAATGTATGATTACGTACGATTATTTTAGATCTAGACCCTCTAGCCGATCTGATTCGATGCACGAGTCATATAGGGAGAGAACCCATGGGCGTGATAGACACAGGGAGAGAGATAGGGATCGACATAGAAGACCCAGGGATCATAGAGATCCATATATGCAAATGCAGGTAACTATTTATTTTTCTTATTAAGTAATTTGGGTATTTATATTTAAAATTAAGATTTCTTTAGGTTTAGTTGTTATTTTTATTTTCTATTTAAAATCAGGGTTACCCCTATGATCCATACAGTCCATATTACCAGCAATTACAGTATCAATATTACGAAAATTTGCGACGTACGAATCCACAGGCATACGCCGAATTGTATAGAAAATATTATCAGCAAACTGGTACTCAACAAACATATGGCGAAGAAGAAAGAGCCTCAGTTCACTCCGGAAGAAGTTCGGCTAACGATGAGTTAGCAAAAGACAGGTAATTTTTTATTTTCATTTAGTAATATTCACGAGGTGATTTTTTGCTTTAACAAAACATTTATTCAAGGCGTCAAAATGTGTTTTTTAAACATTTTTGTATGTTGTGAGTTGCATATTTGTGCTTAGTTTTTGAGATTTATGATGTGTTTTTTCTGTAAAAGTGTACAAAAAGCCTTGAAGTAATAAATTAATAAGGTTACTGCACAAATGGTTTTGGAAATAAACTGGGTTGAATTGGGCCTTTTTCGCTTTTTGCCCTACAACGCACAGCGCTTATTTAAATATCAAAATATTGTGTAAAAACGCAAAATATATAGTCGTCCAATTCTTCGTTACCATATTTATTTATTTTTTTGTTAAATATAACCACACACGCCGTAAAAAGTTTTCATCGTTTTATCTAATTCGTATACTACGTAATTACAATAAATTGGTATTTTATAACGTCAAAAGAGTAAACAAGAAACATTTACCTTTTATTATTTTATTTTTCTTCATTCGTATTCTATTTTTTATAAAATACTGCTTTTGCTGCTCATTACATTACATACTAACATTTCCTTATAAGAGACATTCAATTTACATAAAACAATTTAAAAGTTGTAACAAATATTATTGGTGCCCTTTGTTTAAGAAGACAGACTTTGAATATGAAATTGCTTTTTATTTTTATGATTATCTCTAGGTATACGCGACAGAGTTTTTACAGCCAAGCGAGTTATCCCCACGTGGGGGATTATTATAGAGAAGGGCATAGTATATCGGGCCACTATGGCCATAGCGACATTAGGTGAGCCCCCATTCTCCAATTCTGGTGTAAATATGTACTCTTATTACATATTAGTTTAATCGTCTNACTTTTTAACGCCGGCGCCTATGAATCAAATTCATATGTTGACATCATTGTATTCTTGTGCTTAGTTTTTCCTTCTTGATATATTTAATATTTTTAATAAAGAGCATGAAACCTGTCATTAAAGTTATTGGTAACGAATTTCGCGTAGTCGAGAGGTATTTATAAAACATTCTATTATAAGCTGTTAATTCTAGTTACCACTGGCTTTTCTCGACCTCTAATTTTCTGTAGACCTTATTTATTTCTTGATAAACCGTCTAAACCATTTCACACGCCTATGTAGTGTTTTGTAAATTATAGAATGTACGACAGAACAGACTCTTCTCTTAACTTGGAAGAGACAGTAACGGCATCGCAAAGACTTACGCCTGCGAAGTTCACCACGTCGCATATCAAAGCATCAATTTCTTCGGGAATATTCGTAAAAATTTTACCGCACTACCCCTTGGATGGCCAGTTAGCTACTGTAGAAATCGGGGGCTTCAAAGATTACTTACAATATGACGATGAATTTCGGGAATTGTCAGAATTTCCCGGACCCCTTGTCAAAGGCGTCACGCACAAGAAAACGATTATCGAATATTGCGAGACTAAAATACGAAACGCCCTGACGAACGATGATGTTAATGACATAGACTCATATATTCTTATGTGGGAACTTATGATATTACTTCTAAGACAAAATGGAGTAAGTAACTGTAATTTACTTAAAACAAAATGTAGTTGTAAATAAAAAATTACCTTTCAGATGGTTGTTGGCACCGATATTGCAGAACTTTTAATGAAAAATAGGAAGATTGATACTAGCAGAAGGCCTTCTATTGCATCTAATTCGAGTAGTGTAGTTATGGAGAGGACGGAATCCCTTAACAATCTCAATTCAGAGGCTAGCTCAGGAGCTGGTCTGAAAGAAGAAGTTATCACTAACAAATTCAGAGAATATCTTTTGTATGGCTCTGGAAAGGAGGCATTAGGTTTGTGGAATTTGAAAGCTAATAAAATGCAGATTAAAATATTTTTTTTTTGTTTTCAGAATGGGCTATGAAACATGGATTGTGGGGTCATGCTCTGTTCCTAGCTAGCAAACTGGATAAACGTACATATGCCAGTGTAATGACTCGATTTGCAAATGGTTTACCTATGAATGATCCACTGCAAACTTTGTACCAACTGTTATCTGGGAAAGTACCTGCTGCTGTTACGGTAAAAAATTATCTTCAGTTTAAATAACAAAAAATTAATGAAAGGTTTTATTCTTTTTGTATAGTGTGTGGCAGATGAAAAATGGGGGGATTGGCGACCGCATCTTGCCATGATTCTTTCAAATACTACCCAAAGACCCGATTTAGACCGGAAAGCTATTACTACATTGGCCGATACTTTGTTTAATCGAGGTAATTTGTATGCTGCTCATTTCTGCTACTTAATGGCTCAGGTTGGTTTTGGGCGATATGGTTCGGACTCTGCGAAGATCGTGTTACTTGGCTCCAATCAGACTCGGTCTTTCGCACAGTTTGCCACTAATGAAGCGATACATTTGACAGAAATTTACGAATATGCCTGTAGTTTGAACGATTCCAATTTTGTTATGCCTGAGTTCCAGGTAAAACTAATTAAAATATGAAAGTACACACTTATTAAATTACATTTTCCATTCAGGTTTATAAATATTTGATTGCAACACGAATGAGTGACAGGGGACTGTTAGAGAAGAGTTTGGCATATTTAGAAAGAGTTGCAACCACGATTTTACAGAATCCTGTAGAGTATCAACCGTCTCTTGTGGCGAGCGTTTGTCATTTAGCTGACAGGTTAAAATATTGTGAGCCTGTAGTCGTTGAAGATCCTGATGCCGATGTTGTTGATTATACCTCTACACGAGCTGATAATACGTGGCTGAAAAATCTAAAAAGTGTCGAAGACAATTACAAGGTAAAAAAAATATACAAAATGTAACAGTACTTTAGGTGCAATTAATTTCAGGTCGGGCTTTTAAGCAATCAAAGTGTTCCTTATCAGGCGGAACATCAGGTAAACCAGTATGTCGAAAGTCAAGATGTGTACCAGCAACAGCAACAAGTGCACCAGCAGCAATCTCAACAACAATATCAGTATGGTGTAAGTTTCGATTCCTGGCAGCAACAACCAATTCCAGAACAGCCACAAGCTGTTCATGATATTCAGCATCAACAGGTTGAAACTCAAGATGGTACGTTAAAAAAAAAATAAAAAAAATTCTGCATTTAAAAAGAATAGAATTCGTATGAAAAATAAAATTGGTTACTTGTGGATTCTGTTACAGGTTATGGTACCCAACAGTACGGTGATCAGCAGCAATATTGGCAAAGCCATCAACAGCAATGGCCTGAAGCCATTGTAGATCAGCAACCTAATAGTTTGAATCAGTTTAATCAACAACACCAAGATGACCATCAACAACAAGTGCAAACCAATTTGTGGAGTAATGCTCAGTCTGAGGTGAGTCATTTTAATTAATTTTTCGTATTTTTTAATATTTGTTATTTGAATAATGGAGATTTTTAAGAGTATACAAATTATTGTGAATGAAAACAACTATTTTTAAAGTTCTGCAGATATAATTTAATTAAAACTGGCACTAAAAGTACTCTTATTTTTGTATGAATGAAATGCATATGATGCTTATCAGGGTATTAATAATGGAGAAGTTTTTGATAAAATACTGTTTATATATATTTGCCATTTAGCTCGGTAGGTAGTGGGTTAAAAAGTTGGTTTGCTTTTTTGTTGCTTTGTTGTAATGCTATTTGAATACGTATTTTAACCAACATAAAAAGGCTTATACTATAACTTCCCCTGATCTGTAATTATTTACAACAGTTCAAAGTACTTAAGGGGTAATACGTTTTTTATTGGTTTGTTAACCAAAACCATCGTTTCGTATTAGAAGACTTTATTAAGGTAGATTAGAATCTTCATGGCTAAAAAACTTTTTATCTGTTAAGTGCATTGAATTTTTGCAAAATAAAAAGATTTTTTCAAAAAAAAAAAACAAAAACGTTTTCCTATTTTGATCAGATTCAAGATTTAAGAATTTCTCATGAAAAATTAAAAGTATAAATATAATCAGAACTTGCCGAACAATGACATTAATGTGGTCAGGTACTTTTCTCTATATTACATTCTCATTTATATTCCTTGGCTCTTGTTTGATATAAAGTGATCACACGATATATACACATTTTCGCACAATACGTACTAATGTAGTGGTTGAGCATTAGTTTCCCTAATAAGTCGCTTTCATTGAATGCCATTTGTCTAATGCGTTTGTTTATCTCCGCAATCCTGGGTGTGCAGCCATGCGAGGAGGTCAAAAACGACCGGGACAAAGTAAGTACCTCCTGTTCCTCTTCCTCAACTGTTTCGTTAGTCGCTTCTTCCTCTTCGGCGCTCCGCAAACGACTAACCAGTCCCGTTTCGACGGGTACGGTTGGTAGCAGCGCCCCGATTCATATTAACAACAAGTATTCCCTTCTACGCGATACCAAAAAACAGTCGGCTAAAAGTGAAAGTAATATCGAAACGTCTGAGAGCATGTGCCTTCCCAAAAAGCATCAACCATTTAAAATTCGTAGTGCTGAAGAGTTTCGATTCGACAGTTCATCGTTCGAAGAGAGTTCTGACGGTGAGGCTAAGTTTTGTCGTGGAAGTGGCGAGAAATCCTACTTGATTAGAAATAAACACGAAACTAAAATTCTTTCCACCAGAAACGAATCGAAAGCCACGAAATACAGCACGTTCGACCTAAAAGTAAACGAAAGGAGGGGCAAGATGGTGAAATATAAATCGTTAGATGAGCCTATTAATAAAAATTTAGTAAAATATTGCGAGATTGATAGTAAAGTGGTAATTTCCGCTCAGGATTTCGATTCGACCTTTAGATTAACTAAATTCCAACGAAAGCCTAAGCAAGACATTATAACATGTACGGTTGATAGTTGGGCGAAGCGAAATAAAAAAGGAATGTTTTCTAACATAAAAAGTTCCATCTTCAAGCATACGTCCTCTCCTACTGAAAAAACTAACTCAATTTTTAAGCCTCTTGTGTTCGGCGGTACTTACCCCATAGATGTACCCGTACCTGATGAAAGTGGGGACCGGAATACACCGGGAACTCCCGCTTCTCGCGAGTCAATTGAAAGTCCTCAAGATGGGAATTTAAAGATTTCAAACATATCCAAAAATGGCAATCATAAGATGGTCATAAATGAATTGCCGGTTGTAAGAGAGTACGGCAAAGCGCAAACATTTGATATCGACATGCCTATTTAAAACAAGGAAACTGACATTTGGTAAAAATATCGCCTTAACCTACTTCATTAAATCAGGATAATGAAAAATAAAATGCTATACAATTTAGTACCTGTTCAGGTTCACTTTATATTTTCATTTCATTTGAAGCAAAATATTTTTTTTCTGTTGACAGTTTTATTCTCCGATCGTTTAGTTCGTGTTGATAGGAGTTTTAGAATAAAATATAAGCCTAGTAAAAATATTATTTTAATTGAAGTCGCTTAAAGTATAAGGTGCTTAATAATATAAAAGGCTAATAATTTATTAGCAGCTATTTAATTTTGATAGGGATGTATCTTTATAATTTACCTTGAATTGTGCTGTTTATTTTTCTGGAACTTTTTACATTAAAAAATCAACTAACGGGCCAATGCCAATGGATAAGCATTCCTACTTAAAATTTAAGGACAATAATAATAATTGAAATACACATATTTTCAGGAGAATTATATGTATGTAAAGTAAGTCGTAGTGGCTTTTTCAGAATGTGCCGTTAAAAACCGATGAGTATGCTTTTCAGGCTCGGTATTCGTGTTTAACAGAAAATTATTTTTCCGCAAACTACTTAAATAATTGTGAATGCTGTGCGTAAGAAAAAAATATAAGCGAAATTATTACATCTTCATGTTGTTGTTGTTATAAAATTTAAAAATGTTATTGTACAAAGAATTCATGTTATGTATGTTGGAGGACAGGGCTGTGTTAGAATGTGGTACCTATGATTTTATCGTATTTACAATAATAAATTGTTAATTGAAAAGACGTGATTCAAAAATATACGTAAAAAAAATGGGAAGTCTTCTGGCGGCATTTATTTATTATTGAATGTATCTGACAACAATTTCTATTAGATAAGGCGAAGAACGGTGCTTTATTAATTTGTAGTATGTTTTTTATTTAAAATGTGTACCATTACAACCTTGGCTATGTGTGGATCGAGTGCTGAATGAACAAAATAATTTTAACATGGTGCTAAGGAAATTATGCATAAAGTTGAATGTTTATTGTGGTTTTATATTTTTAATGTAGCTATTCTATCTGAAATGTATAAAATGTACAAAAGTCTTAAATATGTGTGTATCATCTTTTCTTGAGTATCTATTTGTACTTAAGTACTGACTAAGAGATGTATACACAACTGAGAGTTTTACTTCCATTAATAATTACCTACCTTCACAAATAAGAGCCAGATCTGCGTATATAAATACTCACATTTTGCGAAGTAACATATGTTACTAAGGAGACTCATGTGTGAAAGAAGTCACGCAATTAGTGAGACCAAATACTCTCAGTTTTGGTACGGATCGATACTCAAGAAGCGAGTAGATAGAGCACAAAAAATGAGACTAAACACTCACGTGCTTGAGATCCTACATGCATTGTATGCATTTCAAATGGAGTGGCTATTTTAAAAATAAAAGATAATAAATATTAGAGTTAAATTTAAGCGAAAACGTTTTACAAATTACTACTTGACATTACTTAAAGTCTTTCTTTGCTTTCAAGTTTAAATATTATTTAAGGTTGTAATGCTACATCTTTTACAATGTCTAAATATATAAAAAAAATTAATGTTTGTAGAAATGTTACACATAAGAATTGTTAACTGTTGGTGTTATTTTTTTTTACATAGTATGGCCCATGGGCGTGA